CCCGGGTACCCCGGTCGTCAGACCCCCCCGGGCGTCACGCCCGGGTGCCCGGCCGGGCAGGACCGGCCGGGCGTGAGAATCTTCCTAGCTAATTACTGGAAATATAATATTTACCCATGGGTGAAGTGATATATATGTGGAATGCTTTGGATCGGCCGATGGACAAAGGAGAAAGAACATTAATAATGATAATAAGAAGAAGATAACACTTGTCCCTCATATGGGTGCCTTCATCATCACTCTCCTCCTCGTCTCCATTTGCATGGTATTCTTAAAAAGAGTTGAAAATGAACAATTTTAAATGTCCGAGTGATCTCCCTAGTAATTTCTCCCAAGCCTGGTTAGTTATGCAACGGATGCTTGTCACTGCTGGCTTCTTCATTCGTCCATTCACTTGTGGGGCCCACCTGAGTTTGCCAAAAGGGGAATAAAAGGACCCGCTCAATTGTTCGTTCATCTCAACTGAATCCTGTTTCCCCACGGTTGGGATACAAAACTCGGTTGAAATCAAAACTCAACTGATTGAACCATACTTCCCTTGTGCTTGATTGGTACACCACAGTATGCAGATTTGAATAAACACAACAGGTCATGAGCTCAAATGCTGACGTAGTCACTCATGTTATGCACTCGAGGTGCATTTTGAGGGAAGGCATGTGGTCCGGTAATTTGTGGGGGAGTTTGAGGGAAGGCATAAATATGTGTGTGTGTGTGTGTGTGTGTGTGTGTGTGTGTGTGTGTGTGTGTGTGCATGATCGTGTGATTCTCAACTTCTTCAAAGTAACAGCTGGAGAGAAGTTGTCAAGAGAAGCCTGTCAAATGTGTCTTGTTTTTGTTTTAACAGGTTTGATGATGCCACAAGTGCTCTTGTAGGTGCTGTATAAGCTCACCACAATCTTATCGATTATGCCCTTAGTATTTTGTTTAGGGTTGACCTATCTGCATATCAAGATGGAAACCTGATATGGAATAAGGTTGACGGCTTTCAATCCCAGTACATTTTAAGCCAAGCGAACCAAAGTAATATCTGGTGACGTAGAGGTGTTTCCTTCCATGGACTGACTCGATTTGGAATGCAACTTTGTTCAACTTCAGAATGCCAATCCCATCCGTGTCCTTGCAACACCATCGAGTACGGTTTCTGACGATGGATGGGAGGAGAAGCTTGGTCAGTGCCTGGCTGGGTGGGTGGGGGAGGGATTATGGATGCTGCTGGGACGGTTTCATGCTTAAAGTGCCTGGCGATTTCATGTGTTTTGTTGTACCTGCAGATGAAAGTTGATGTAACAAGGGAAGATGAGCTGCGCATTCATGTGACCATTATGCTTAAAGTGTCTGGTGATTTCATGTGTTTTGTTGTACCTGCAGATGAAAGTTGATGTAACAAGGGGAGAAGAGCTGCGCATTCATGTGAACATTACTTTCCCATCCTTACCTTGCCAAGGCGAGTGCTCTGTTTCTTGTTTTTTTTTTTGGTGTTCTGTTTGCTCTTAAACCACCTGCAATAACCCACTCATATATGCCATGTCCTCGGCCAAGGGGGCCACCTGCAGGCCACAAAATCAGCACTCAGGCCCTGCGCCGACCGAGGGGCACAAAACCCCGAAACGTGGGTTCAGGGGCCCTATGCCCAACAGTTGACCAAAGTCAACTGCCTGTCGGGATATTGAGACCCGTCACGGACCCAGCCCAGGTCATTGTTCAAACACACACACTTGGTTGCACGCAGGTATCCAGGCAGCATTCGGTCCAAGTGGAAGTCTGTAACTGTACGTGATCCAGGCCGTCGGCTGTGAGTCAATCTGAGCCTCCGTGGGTGAGAGACCAGAGGCAGGTCAACCTCATCAACACTACTTATTGTCCCTGCCCCTGGGAGTCAACATTCAGTCTTGCCTTGCTGACTTGACGCTTGCACGACGCTGACTTGATGCTGGCTGGACGCTGGCAGCACTTGCTCTACGCTGGCATTGTGCGACGACGACGTGAGACGGTTGCATTCGCGTGCGGGCGCCTCCCTGATCTCGCGCCAGCTGTCTTCTTGCTTGCTGACGTGGCGCTTGCCGCACTGTCTTTGACATTGCTGATGTGGTGCATGCCACACTGTCTGCATTGCTGACGTGGCGCATGCCACACTCTCTTCATTGCTGATTGGAATGCGACGAGGAGGGAGATCGGGATCTGTGGGATTGATAGAGAGAGAGGAGACTTACCTGTTGCTGATGTCGACATTGCGCGCTGCGGTGACGTCTTCATGGGAGAATTGTGCCTACGTGGCACTGTGATGTGATAAGATCTCGTCGGCTTGTTTTGGGACACTGTTTGCTGACGTGGAGGAGAGGAGGACCCCGATGAAGAAGTGGGGACAGAGGGGGTTTCTATCTACGTGGACATTGATGGATATTTTCTCTTCCACCCTCTAATTTTACCATCCCCCTCTCCTGCTTCGTCCTCTGGTTACGAGACATTGTATCACAGATCACATTTCATGATTATTGGAGACATTTATCAGTGTTGAGTTATCTTGTATTTCGACCCTTGATGAGTTTCCTCCAGACTGGGCTCATTGCAAGTTGGTATCGGATCTTACCTTTTTCGTCGCGATCTGCTGTTGGGTGCCTGGTTGCGCCAAGTCAAGTATTGGGGGTGTGCGGCGCTGAAGAAACGTGTCTATAGATGCGCACGATTATAATCACGATCTGGACATTCCGCGCACATGCACCCGTTGAAGATGATGACGTGGACTTGAAGATGGCGACATTGCTGATATGGCACATTGTTGCTGACGTGGCGATCAGATACCAGCGAGAGCATCATTGGCTGCGGCGCTGACGTGGCGTTGGACGATCGTGAGAGAGAGATATAGTGGTGGGAACGTGGCATTGGAGGTGCTGCCTATGTGGCATGGCGCGTGGATGCGGACGTGGCATCCAGAACTCTGCGGGTACTGTTTGACGTGGCACTTACCTGTGTTGCAGCTCACCTGCTGACGTGGCACCTTCATACACCAGCGGTATCTTCGATCTGATGTGGCATACTAGTGATGAATGCGGTGGGAGATAGTGCGCTGCTGACATGGCATCCCTATTGACAGCCTTTCTGGCATTTGATGCTGACATGGCATACTTCGTGGGGTTGCTGTGTTGGCATGACAGGGGTGACACGTGGCAGTAAGGGGCACGCTGTCATTGGTGAGTGATTTGATACGTGCACTTGTGTGCTGGCGGGTGGTACAGCATCACGAAAAGGCTGTAGTGCCACGCGTCGGCCCTTGCGCCTGGTTGCATTCGCATTCGCAGAGGGACAGTCAAGGAGGATGAGCTGTTGACATATAGATTGATTGTTGTGTTGTTGGCTGACTCTACTCACCGTGGGCTGTTTCGTGAATGTCTGCTACTCACCAATTGTGTGTTGTCTTGATCACAGTGGCCGCGGTTGCGGTATCTGTCCCACTCTCAATTAGGAACGTCATCACACAAAATGAGCAGAATAATTAGAAAAAGATAAATAGGAGAATCTGAACCTTTAATTTATTTCTTTTATTTTCTTGTCATAGGAATTAATTGAAGTGAGGCCGTGGAATTAGCTGATTGTCTTCTTATAAGTTTATTGTGTGGCAAACTCATCTGTCAGAATGGTTTTTGTGTGGAATTGTCTGTGTGCATCCATTTTGACCCGCTTCATCCCCTTCCTCTTCTATCCCATCTCTATCACACTGTTTGCTGATGAGGAGGATATGGTAGTGAGAACTCGAGGTCAAATCGAGGAACGACGACAACAAATGCTGAACCGTCTTCGCACATTGCTCCAAGAGATACAAGGTGCTGGCCCTGATGCTGGACAACATGTAAGCAGTTTGTTCGATCTGCCTGCAGCAGACGACGAACTGAAACAGGTTGAAACTGCTGTCCAGATGATGGAAACCAGTAAACATGTGCAGCAACTGATTGATCAAGCACGAATGGCACTTGATCAGCGTATAAGCAGTTTGTACAATCTGCGGGCAGCAGAAGATGAACTGAAACAGGTTGAAACTGCTGTCCAGATGATGGAAACCAGTAAAAATGTGCAGCAACTGATTGATCAAGCACGAATGGCACTTGATCATCATGTTGCAGAGCAGTTTGCGAAGATTACCGAACAAGGAGAGGCCAAAGAAGAAAAGAAGGGTGAAGCTTCTGAGAGAAAGAAAGAACCTGAAGAACCGGCGAAAAAGAAAGAAGAACCCGCCAAGAAAGAAGAGGTGAAGAAGGAGGAAGGGGAACACCCCAAGAAAAAGGGAAAAGTGAAAATGAAACTTCATTTGACGTACAACCATTCCTGTGCGCACAGGGCCCCCTTGACACACACGGATGCCCGCACGGGTGCACGGCCGTGCGGGTCCCCCGGTCAGGCCCCGTGCGGCCTCAGCATGCAGGCCTTGGGGGGGGTGATTTCAGGGACTCCGGGCCAACCTCCTCCGTCGTCCCCCACCTCCCTTCCGCCATTTCCCACCTCCCTTCCGCCATCTCCCACTCGACTCCCGCCATCTCCAACCTCCCTCCCGCCATCTCCAACCTCACTCCCGCCGCCTCCCACCTCCCTTTCACCACCTCCAACCTCGCTCCCGCCACCTCCCACCTCCCTTTCACCATTTCCAACCTCACTTCCGCCATCTTTTACCTCCCTCCCGCCATCTTTAACCTCCCTCCTGCCATCGTTAACCTCCTTCTGGCCACCTCCCACGTCTCCTCCCGCCACCTCCCACCTCCCTTCCGCCATCCCCAACCTCACCTGTCATCTTTAACGTCCCTCCCGCCACCTCCTTCCCACCACCTCCCATCTCCCTTCCGCCATCTCCCACCTTACTCTCGCCACCTCCTACCTCCCTTCCATCGTCTCCAACCTCTCTTCCACCATCTCGGACGTCACTCCCACCACCTCCCACTCCCGCCACCTCCCACCTCTGAACAGTAGGAGTCAGTGAGACCCCCCCCAACCCCCCCCCCCTGCCACAAGCGAAATACTGATGTGGCAGATGAGTGCAAACAGGGCAGATTCAGGCAGATCTCTGCAGGCGCGGCAGAGGCCCATCACCGGATAAAAGAAAAAAGAAAAAAAACGTCAAAAACAGCTTGCATGGGTGACCCGTGCAGCCGCCGGGCCTTGCAGGCTGCATGGGTGCACGGCCGTGCCGGCCCGGCTGGGCGGCGTAGGAAGCCTAGGGTACATGTGGTTTTCCTCCAATTTTTGGCAACTGCAATGCAAGGTCAGTCCTATGCAGAACTCTCTCTTGAACTGGTCCCTTTGAGCGCAGAGGTGTGCTCCATATACTATGGAGTGTAGTTTTCACGTGAGACATGTTTTCGTGGTGTTGTGACTTGTCTCGGATTGTGCATGGCAGTTCTTAGCCTGGATGCGTTGGATATGTCGGGTAAGCACGAGGTTGATCTTGACACAAACATCTTCAAGGTATGCTATCACATGGTTTTGAGCAATTTTTGCAGCAGTAGTGGATTCAGTTTTATCAAACTTCATCCAGTTCTATAGTCCATGTTAGTCCATTTGTTTTTTTTTTCCGTTTCTGACTTCATTCCATCCCTGGGTTACCAGGCCTCCACAGCTGTGCATGTGATACAAACTCACCTGAGCAATGTATATGAAAAGGACTCAAATGAAAAATGCAGCGTTATCAAAGCATCACGGGCAATGTACATCCAGATACATATGAAAATAGCACAATGTAGCGCAGCGGAAGACTCAAAGATATGACCTCACCTATCAGACCCTGACGCGATATCCCACCATAACCACACATGTGAGAGAGGGAGGAGGGCCCACATACATGGAAGAAAGGTCCCTCCTTGCACACGCAGATGGGGGAGACACCACGGATGAAGAGATGGGGGAGAGGCGAGACGAAAATGGAGGTGATGGAGAAGACCAAGTTCGCGATAGCGAAGTCCAAAAATAGTCTCCCTGCCGAATGTTCAACCAACGTCTGCCACAGAAATGTCGAATCAGATCCTGGGCCTCATGCCCGATGTAACCTCTGCCTGTAACCTCTCTCTGCCGCTCTCTGAAAGGAGGAGGAGGAGGAGGAAGGAGGGAGAAGAGATGGAGGGCGAGACGAAGAAGACGACGATGTCGTCCTTTTCGACATCTCACCTGCAGGTAACTGCCGCCATGTACTAACTGCTGTCGTGGTCCCTGTGCAGGTCGCCGGCGCCAGGTAAGTACCGCCGCAGCAAGTATGGCCTCCGCCTCACAAGCTATAAGTAGCGCTGGGCCTCGCTGGTATGCCTACTGGGTCTGGGTCCTGACTGGATGTCCCAACCCTCCCTCCTGATGCAGCAGGGTTGTCCGCTACTGGGCGAACACAAACCTGGCCCAACAGGGCCTGCCTATGTCCGTATCAGGCCAAAAGTGTGGCCTTGTCAGTACTGAACTGCAAGTCCAAAACGACACCTGAATAGACAAAAATAGGACAGCAAATAAATAGATAATAAATAAATAAATGCTGCCTCAAATCCAAACCTGTGGCCCTAAGGCTGGCCGTGGGCCTCCAGGGCACATGTCCGAAGGGTGTGCGGCCTGGGGCCCTCAGCAACCGCCGGTCCCCCAAAACGGGGCCCTTGTGCAGGCTCAGCATGTAACACCCCTCCTTCCTTATGAAGTCGAGCCGGGTCGAGGGCGACGCTGACGATCCGATGGTGGAACCCGGACGTGAGTACGGCTTGGAGCGGAAGGTGCCGGCTTGCCTTGCTGTTTGCGTTCGTAACGTGCGAGAACATCGGGGGCTGTAGCTTGAAGTTCTGCACGGGTCAACCAACGGTCATCCTCATGGCCACAATAAGAGAAATGTAGTAAGCACTCTGTCGGCTTGGTGCCATAGCACCGCTGCGAAATGATGTCACTGACCTCTTGAAAACCGTCCATGGAAGGTGGCTCTTGCGATCGTCGCCCGAGAAAGTCGGCGCGTTCAAAAAGAGTAAGCTTTGAACAATGGAAGACCGGGTAGACGGGCAAGTGGGCGGGCACCTGAATGACAAATGAAGGTCCTTCGGGTGCGTCACCCATGGGTGCTACAATGCGCCAAGGCCCCATCCGTTTTGGAAGGAGCTTGCCAGAGAGATCTTGTTCGAGGCTGAATTCCGCGGTGGAGACCCAAACAAGGTCGCCCGCGCGGAACGAACAAGGAAGACGCTGGCGATTGGCCGGACGGCTCATGTGTTGCTCCGTCTTCAACATCTGGTCGCGTGCCTTGACAAGGAGCTCTTGCATTCGTCGAATGAAGATAAGGTGGTCGTCGGTCTCGCTTGCCCGTGACATAATAGTGTCCAACGACGATGTGACCGACGAGCCATGCTCGAACCCAAAAGGCAATATCCCGATAGCCGAATGAATGGACGGGTTGTAAGTCAACTCGACGTTCGACAACGGCTCAACCCAATCCTTTTATCGGGACGAATGAGAGTGCGAAGAAGAACCTGTGCGGTTTGATGCGCCCTCTCCGTGTGGCCATCGGTTTGTGGGTGGCAAGCGAAACTCGGCTTGAGAGATCAGCCCCATTGTTTGACGAGAGCCAACCAAAAGTCGGACATGAACCGAGTGTCGCAGTCGTAGACGATCTCCTTGTGGTAACCCTTGGTACAAATCCAACCGGCATAAAGAACCTTGGCCAAGTCCGATGCCTTGGCGTGATAGCAGCAAGGCAAAAACATGGCAAACTTGGTGAGTCGATCGACCACCGTGAGAATCCCATCCACACCGGTCTTGTGCTTGGGGAACGGCCTGGTGATGTCCATGGCAATCAATTCCCGTCGTGCTAAGGGGACCTGTAATGGTCGCAACTCGCGGAATGGACGATGATTCCGGGATTTGCAATGTCGGCAAACCTCGCATTGCTCGCTATAGCATGTGACGTCATTGAGAAGGTCGGGCCACCAAAAGCGCTCGCGAAGTCGGCTAAGAGTACGATCGACTCTGAAGTGTCTGGTGGTGGGAGTGTCGTGGAACTCGCCAAGAAGCCGTATACGTAAGTGTGGATCACTTGGTACACAGAAGATCCTTCTCCCGCGAGTGGACTAGCAAATAACCCTCTTGGATCCGATAGTGCGATGGCTCCGGATTTGGAGAGGAGCAATTCGCATACTTGTCGCGAAACTCGGGGTCGACTTGGTAGTCGCGGATGAAGCTGTCCCACAAGTAGTCGTCAATCTCGAACGCCGAGTAGACCGCGGTACAATGGTCCGGACGTTGTGAAAGAGTGTTTGCAAAATGGTTTGAATGTGATGGGGGAAGAAGTTAAAGTGGTCGATGAAAGCCATCCAATGAGCAATGGTGCTATTGACCTTGTCTTGGGTCTTGTAGAAGACCAACGGATTGTTATCCGTTACCCATCGGTATTGACTTCGTCTGAAAAGAAAATGCCGCCATCGCTTAAGCGTGTGTATGAAGGCTAATAACTCCTTCCATGCGTCGTCAATCGAATGCACGGCGGGCACTTTCTTACTAAAGTATTCGACCAGGTCAAAATGTCCGTGCCACGTCTTGAACGTGGATTTGTAGCGATCTTGTGGGCGTATCGAAATCTGATGATAGCCCGACTTAAAAGTCCAACTCGGAAAAATATTTCGCGCCGCAAAAATGCTCAAGAAGATCGTCAGTACGAGGAAGAGGCCCCACATTCTTGACGGTTTGCATGTTGAGCTTGCGATAGTCAATGCATAAGTGAAGATCCTTGTTCTTCTTCCTTACGAAGAGAACCGGCGCACCGTATTGTGAGCTACTAGGGCAGATCTAGCCCTTTCCAACTAGTCATCGAGTTGCGCACGAAGAACCGCGAGCTCCTTCTTGCTCATGCGATAGATGCATCCTTTCAGCGATATGACATCAGAGTCGGTCGCTGCGACGGTCCTAAGAAAACATAAGCCGATCTTGTTGGTCCGCTCGTAAGTGCACGAGGTCCGGATAGACTTGTCTGTCACAAGTTGGCACCAGATCGAAGGGTGCGGAAGAGGGATGGTACACGGCACCTCGGTGCCAAAGGCGTCACAAACGGTAGGCATTCGCCGATGGAAGTTGATCATGTCGTCCGCACTTGCAAGCCAAGGCATCCCCAAAATAATGTTGAAGTCTGTGTCAAAGATGTCAAACGTAACCGGCTCGCATGCATTTGGTGCGAAATAGATCGGCACGACTTCGATGTAGCGATCAAGAAGTTGTTGCGTCCAACCGTCTGCCATCTTGACCGCCGTAGGATATGGCTTCTTCTAACTTGTGCGCCAAGGCCGGCCCTTCGTATAAAGAACTGACTCATAAAATTGCTAGTCGATGCAGGATGCTTGCCCATATTGGATGCGGACATAGAGGAGCGGTGGGTTGTTGTCGTTATATAGCTGTGTGCGAAACTCGTGGGCCACCTTTGTGATATATGCAAGGAGGTCCCCCACCACAACTTCGTCATCCATTGCGGAAGTTGTGCTGCATAGAAGGAGAAATACATGTGGAGATGGGCTTATAGTGCTGCGCATTGCGGTCCCAGTAAGCGGATCGTGGAAAGGAGAGGAAGCCATGCAAAATCCCCAGGCGACAACGGGTCCAAGACGTCTACGTTGAACTCGTGTGCCGAATCCCTTGAAGAACCACTTGAAGATGATAAACTGTCGCCGCTTTCGGACGGAGAAGAAACCGCACACACACCTTGAGCTAGAGAATCCAGTGATGGAACGAGCCAGGCAGCATAGTCCTCAAAAGAGTAAAGGAGAGGTCTTACGACTTCCGCATGTGCCTTGGAACTAAGGGAGGTCGCTCGGGAAGCAACCGGTTCCAAAGGCGTCGAGAGTGCAGACGTATCACTCTCTGCTGTGCTCACTTTCCTGGAAGGGACTTTCCCTTGGCTTTCGCGGTACAGCTGGCCGTTTCGTGAAGGTCGCTGTTGCACCACAAACAATAATGGAATCTCGTGCGGATTTTGTAGTAGACACCCTCCGAGAGACCGTAATGACGCCAACGTTCTTGAGCTGCTGGACCAATTCCGGGGGATGAAGAGGTGTTTGCCTTCAATTTGCTGCGTCCTCGACCTTTGGAGGGGTGACCACCATTTCGAGGGGCTCCTAATACTTCTCCCTTGTCAGATGAAGCGGTCTTGTTCGAAGAGTCGGTCAACGTTGTTGCTACGACCACGGCCACTTTCGGCCGATGCTGATCTCTGCCCTGACCTGCAGAAGACGAGCGGCCAGCATTGCGGGCTTCCGTGTTCATCACTATAATCTGTGAGGCCTTATGAAATAGCGATTCACTTGTGGTGAGTCTCTCAGTGACTTGCTTTTGGTACTCGGTGATCCAATCCGTGCTTGGCAAGGCGTTCAGATGGAACTTTTGCAGTTTCTCCATTGCCTGAAGCTTGGGCGGTTCCACTTGGAACCTCTTATGCCATGCTGCCTTGAAATCAGCCCAACTGATCTTCG